TTCCCTCCTCCCTCCCGCCGCCCTGCTGGCCCCTCTTCACTCCTCTCTACCGCCATCCTGCTGGCCCCTCTTCATTCCTCTCTACTGCCACCCTGCTGGCCCCTCTTCACTCCTCTCTACTGCCGCCCTGCTGGCCCCTCTTCACTCCTCTCTACTGCCGCCCTGCTGGCCCCTCTTCACTCCTCTCTACTGCCGCCCTGCTGGCCCCTCTTCACTCCTCTCTACTGCCGCCCTGCTGGCCCCTCTTCACTCCTCTCTACTGCCGCCCTGCTGGCCCCTCTTCACTCCTCTCTACTGCCGCCCTGCTGGCCCCTCTTCACTCCTCTCTACTGCCGCCCTGCTGGCCCCTCTTCACTCCTCTCTACTGCCGCCCTGCTGGCCCCTCTTCACTCCTCTCTACTGCCGCCCTGCTGGCCCCTCTTCACTCCTCTCTACTGCCGCCCTGCAGGCCCCTCTTCACTCCTCTCTACTGCCGCCCTGCTGGCCCCTCTTCACTCCTCTCTACTGCCGCCCTGCTGGCCCCTCTTCACTCCTCTCTACTGCCGCCCTGCTGGCCCCTCTTCACTCCTCTCTACTGCCGCCCTGCTGGCCCCTCTTCACTCCTCTCTACTGCCGCCCTGCTGGCCCCTCTTCACTCCTCTCTACTGCCGCCCTGCTGGCCCCTCTTCACTCCTCTCTACTGCCGCCCTGCTGGCCCCTCTTCACTGCTCTCTACTGCCGCCCTGCTCGCCTCTCTTCACTCCTCTCTACTGCTGCCCTGATTCCCCTTCCCCCCACTTCTCTACCGCCGCCCTGCTGGCCCCTCATCACACCTTTCTATTACTGCCCAGCTCTCTGCTCGTCACACCGCTCTACTGCCACCCTGCTGGCCCCACGTCATGCCTCTCTACTGCCGCCCTGTTGGACACTCCTCTCGCCTTCCTATCCCCGCCCTGCTAGCCCCTTGTCATGCCTCTCTACCACCACTCTGGAGGTCGCTCTTACACCTCTTGGCCACCATCCTTCTGGATGCTTATTGCCCCGGTCTGCTGCCACCCTGCTGTCTCTCACTCACCCTCTGCTGCCCTCCATCTCTCAACTGTGATGTCTGCCCATCGGGCTCTTAGTAAATTTCAACTCTTTCGAGGCTGGACAGAAAACTGCCCCATCTCTCATGACTTCAGCCCCTTGGGATTTTTACTAGGTAGACACGCAGCTGTACCACAACCGAAATCAGAAGGAGGCTCTGGTGGAAACCTGCGTGGCTCTGTTCTGTGAGCAGTGGGGCTCTCAACAGGTCGGAGCAGCCCAGGAAGTATTCCTCGGAATGTGTGTAGTCCGTAGTTCAGCATACCTGCCCACTCCCTAGTTATCCTCCCAGGCCTATGCCTGCCCAGCCCCTGCTGAGCAAGCTGCTTTCAGAGCAGATGAAGCACAGACCAGAAAGACAGACACTGGCCACTGTATGTCATGATCCCTGCACTCACAGCAAACCTAGCTGGCCCACAGGCTCCTCACATCCCCTCACCAGCTCCCTCCTGGCCTCTCATCACATCCCCCCACCAGCACACTGCTGGCCCCTCATCATATGCCCCCATCATTACATTTCTTGCCCTATGTCACATTCCTCCACCATCCCTCCACCGCCTCCTCCAGAGAGGGAGATTCCACCACCTCCCTTGGCAATTTATTCCAATATTTGACCACCCTGACAGTTAGGAATTTTTTCCTAATGTCCAATCTAAACCTCCCCTGCTGCACTTTAAGCCCATTACTCCTTGTCCTGTCCTCAGAAACCAAGAGGAACACATTTTCTCCTTCCTCCTTGTGACACCCTTTTAGATATTTGAAAACCGCTCTCATGTCCCCCCTTAATCTTCTTTTTTCCAAACTAAACAAGCCCAGTTCATGAAGCCTGGCTTCATAGGTCATGTTCTCTAGGCCTTTAATCATTCTTGTCGCTCTTCTCTGTACCCTTTCCAATTTCTCCACATCTTTCTTGAAATGTGGTGCCCAGAACTGGACACAGTACTCCAGCTGAGGCCTAACTAGTGCAGAGTAGAGCGGCAGAATGACTTCACGAGTTTTGCTTACAACACACCTGTTGATACAACCTAGAATCATATTTGCTTTTTTTGCAACAGCATCACACTGTTGACTCATATTCAGCTTGTGGTCCACTATGACCCCTAGATCCCTTTCCGCCATGCTCCTTCCTAGACAGTCGCTTCCCATCTCTCAGATGCAACCATCAGCCTCTTAGTCATTTTCAACTCTTCTGCAGGCCGGGCAGGAACACTGCCCCATCCCACTTGCTTTGCGCCCTGCTGAGCAAGTGCTTTTCTGCTCCACGGTAGCTTTTTCCTTTGAAGCAGATGAATCACAGACCAGAATGACACTGCTCACGGTATTTCATAATCCCTGCGTTCACTACCAGCCTAGCTGGCCCACAGGCACGAATTCAGCTGATTGCAACGAGCAAACTCCACTCCCACTGCTGACTATCCAGCAAAGCCAAGCGGAGCAGGAGCAAACTGTGTTTGCATAGACACCCCCCGAGTCTCTCGCCTCCACCTGACTATGGGGGAAGCATCCTTCAGTCCTTTCTTCCGCTGGAATATTTTCCCAGCTGGGCTTCCCCTGTGGGACTCACTGTGGCTGGTTCGAAAGTGCTGTGTGGTGACTAGGAGCCACAGGCGATGTGGTTGCTGACAGGCACTGAGGGGAAGGTGAAATAGGCCAGTGTGGATTGACGGATTCCCCCATGAACTCCCAGGAAAGGCGGGCACCGGGTCAGCAGGGAAACCCATCTCCCAGGAGAGCGAGAACTCCAGGAGTCCCCCTCTGAGCAGGGACAGGTGAGGAGCCGAGATGAGGGGGCTTTGGTGGGCCACAGAAGGGAGGTAGAACTGCGCTTCCTCTGAACTGGGAGGGGACGACAGGAAAAGGCGGGCGGATGGTTCAGAGAACAGGGCTGAGCAGCGGTTTTGGCCAGAAACTCACAGCTGGGCTGTGGAGGGGAAAAGGGAGAGATTAGAGTCTCTGCAGGATTTCCTGTGAGCTGGGGGGAGAGGGGGAGGCTGTGACTTCTCTGAGGGCATGTGATGGAGGGAGGGAGACCCTGCCCCGGAGACCAGTTCAGCATTGTGCTAACTCACCTTCTGCCTGTGCTGGGTAAGTTTTGTCCCCCTTTTTCTTTCTTTCTTTCTCTTTCTTTCTTTCTTTCTTTCTTTCTTTCTTTCTTTCTTTCTTTCTTTCTTTCTTTCTTTCTTTCTTTCTTTCTTTCTTTCTTTCTTTCTTTCTTTCTTTCTTTCTTTCTTTCTTTCTTTCTTTCTTTCTTTCTTTCTTTCTTTCCCCATCTCCCCCATTTCCTCCCAGTGCCCCAAAGCCCATGTGCATGGAGGTCTCATCAACTCCATTCTCTCCTCCAGCCTGTCTCCAGTTACTTCCCCGGCTGGTGTCTCCCACAGATAATGCCCAAGCCTGTCCACGCCGAGATACCACGGCTTGGGGTGGGGATGTCTCTTAAGCCAGAGTGCGGTCCTTCCTCCCATTTCAGCTGTGGGCTGTGCCAGGAAAGGTTGGGGGGATGTGAGCTCAGAGATCTCTGTCTCCCCCTTTGCTCCTTACACCCACCCAGCCCCAGTTCATTCTGACCTCACCCCATTCTCAGCCCAGGGCAGGTGAGATGACTTGGGTGGGTCTCAACCCAGGTCTTGGCAGGAAGGCTGAGGCTGGGGGCTGGATAGCAAATACCCCTCTGCCCCTTACAGAGAAAGGGCTGTGCACTGGCGGGGAAGGGGGTTTCTATGTCTATGTGAGTGGGGAGGACCTCAGTGCGCATGAACAGCTAAGTTCTGGGAACTGCTGATTTCGCACGTTTCCTCGGTAGAGTGAAACGGCACCTTTTGGCCCCACCCACTCAGATAGGAAATGCCCTGCCCCCATGTCCACTAGTTCTTTCTCCTTTACTCCCTGTCCATGAAACCATGGGGCATGAGGGGCTGGGATGCAGGGTTGCCCCCCAGCTTCTGAAGAGGCAGAATTTGTGCTGTGTTCACCTTCCCCCTCTCAGCTCAACGGGCTCAGGCTGTGAGCAGACTCAGGCAAGGGGGCAATCCTCTCCCTATCTTGAGATTTCCTCCTTCGCCTGGCCTATGAGGTGCTCCCGGATTGATTCTCTTTCATCTCTGTCACCCCACGTGCCAAAGCCCTTCAGCACGTTCTGTGCTAGTTTCCACTCATTCTGGGGGTTTGGATGCAGGGTGAAGATGAGGGTGGCTATTTGCTGCTGGATCTCGGTTGGTTATGACTTGGTGCAATAGACCCTTGGATATGTTTAAAATCGGGAAATCTGGAGAACTTTCATCCAAGAGTTTTAAAAGACCTGGCTGAGGAGCTCACGGAACTTGATTGGATGGTTTTCTAAAAGATCTGCTTTCGCCATTATTTTTAGTTCATCCTATGTCCCCTGTTTTACGTGAGGTCAGATTAGTTTATCACAGTGGTCCCTGGTGGCTTTGGAATCCATGGCTACATCTAAACAGTAGGGCTACGTCTGCACTGCATGATTTTCCGGAAATGCTTTTGACGGAAAAGCACTTTTTGTGGAAAAGCGTCCGTGGCCAATCTAGACGCGCTTTTCCGCAAAAAAGCCCCGATCGCCATTTTCACGATCAGGGCTTTTTTGCGGAAAACAACTCTCTGCTGTCTACACTGGCCCTTTTGCACAAAAGTTTTTCGAAAAAAGACTTTTGCCCGAACGAGGGCAGCATAGTGTTTCCACAAAAGCACTGATGATTTTACATGAGATCGTCAGTGCTTTTGCGGAAATTCAAGCGGCCAGTGTAGACAGCTGGCAAGTTTTTCCGCAAAAGCAGATAATTTTGCGGAAAAACTTGCCAGTCTAGACACAGCCTAGGATTATTTCGGAAGAACCTTTCTTCAGAAGAGATCTGCCAAAAATCTTCTCCCGAAAGAGAGCGTCCACACTATAAAAGCACATCGAAAAAGCAATCTGCTTTTTCAAAAGAGAGTATTCTGACTGAATGGACGCTCTCTCGCACATAAGCTGGGATTGCTTTGGGTGGAAGGGCCACCAGGGGACCTGTGCTTTTTCCTCTTTCCTCTTTTTCCGAAAGAACTCCCACTTCCCCATCCACACATGTCTTTTTCCGAAAGCGCTCTTTCAGAAAACGGCTTCTTCCTTGTAGAATGAGGATTACCAATGCTGGAAGAACCCCTCTGTTCTTCTGATACAATTTCAAAAGAACGCAATTGCAGCATGGACATAACTGGAGGGGTTTTTTTTTCAGAAAAACAGCCGTTTTCCCAAAAAAAACCCTCTTCAGTATAGACATAGCCTATGAGGGATAGGAATTGCCAGTGAAAATGGGCAGCAAATCATGCCATCTGGTAGCAATGCGAAGGATAGGACACAACCTACGGGAGGAAGCACATTGATACCATAACTGAGTCAGATAGTCCAGCGGGATGGAGAGAATTTTTATTGCCAGAAGCGTGGGGAGCTGACTGGAATTCGTGCAGCTTGGGAAAAAGCTTTTCTTTCTTTCTTTCTTTCTTTCTTTCTTTCTTTCTTTCTTTCTTTCTTTCTTTCTTTCTTTCTTTCTTTCTTTCTTTCTTGTCCACTTCTGCATTGGGATCCAAAGCTCACGACCAGGGAAGAGACCTGCAGCTTATTGTAAGCAAACACGGCAAGCTTCATGGCACAGCAAATGAAAGGTGGCCATCATGTGTCCTGTTTCTCCACTGGGAAAACTGAGGCTGGTGGTGTGGTAGGTTCATCACTCAGCATCATCTCAGCCAGATCAGGGTTGGAGGACTTTGGGGATCCTTCTACAGGTTTGGCTCTCTGCAATCTCCGTTTTGTAACTGTCCTAGAATCTGCAAACCAAAAGTGACAACTTTGGAGTTTATCCCACACTTCCGACCCACCTCTCACGGACGGACAGGAAAAGAGGGAAAGGGGGATGAAGAAGTGGGTGGGACAACCAGTAGAGGGCGCTGTAGCTCTCCATGGTGCTAGTGCATGGTGTGCTGTAATTCTAGGTCATGAGGGGATGCTCTCCCCCTTAGAGTTGGGGTGACCCCAATTTTCTAAAGCTGCACTAGGGGGTGCTGTCCTCCAGGGCGCAGTGTGAGCAGGCTCAGTTGGGGGCTGTCTCCTGACTTTCAGGGCTGGCCTTGATGTATCAATGAGACAGGAGTGTGGCCTCCAACCTTCAGTCCTAACACGCTTCAGCAGCTCATTCCCACCCCTGCCATGTCAGTGTCATTCCAGAGCCGCCTTAGACCCCTGTCCACAATGGTTGGTCATTCACCCAATGCGCCCCACCCCAGAGGTGGCTGCATGTCAGCTAATGGCTGAAGAACTCCCTATGGGAACAGGGCTCATGACAAACACAATACCCAGCCAGCAAAGGGACATGAGCAGGTAGAGACACAAAGGGGGAGACATTTCGGCCTTGGTGGGACATTTAGGGTGTGAGGATGAGTTCCCCAAACCTGCCAATCAGGGCTCTCTGCCCCCCACAAAAACCAGTTACCTTGGTGCTTCATCAGGAAGTAGGTGGCGAGGAAGATGAGGCCATTGAGGGTGAAGAAGGAGCCACCCACAGCCAACACCCGGGACAAGTTGCCTGTGGTGGAGGGAAGAGACATGATGGAGTTGGAGGTACAATGCCCTGTTCAGTGTGTGTGTGTGTGTGTGTGTATGTGTGTGTGTGTTATAATACCCCATTCAGAGAGAGTGTGTGCGTGCGCGTGTGTGTGGTATAGTGTCCTGTTCCCTGTGTGCATGTGTGTTATAATATCCTGTTCGGTGTGTGTGTGTGTGTGTGTGTGTGTGTGTGTGTGTGTGTGTGTGTGTGTTATAATGACCCATTCAGTGTGTGCGTGTGTGTGTGGGATAATGCCCCATTCAGTGTGAGTGTGTGCGAGTGTGTGTGTCCGTGTGTGGTATAATGCCCCATTCAGTGTGTGTGCGTGCGTGCGTGTGTGTGTATAAAGGCTGAGGATCAGATGTCCCAGCAACTGCTGGGAAAGACAGAAACTGAAGATCCTAGCTATGAAACAAAATAATATAATAATGTTTTGGGGTCCTTTGGTTGTAATAACAAACCTAAACAGCCACCCAAAACTGAATGGCTGCCCTGCAGCTCTGGCTACAAAATGTGGCCGGAAAACTCTCCAGCGGAACTTCTCAGACACAGCACACGTGCCATGGAGGCTTCTTGACTCATCTTACTGCAAACGATCTGTCCAGCTCGCTGAAAAAAACATCTATACAAAGGGGAAGTGATATTAATGCATTTGCCTCGTTCTTTATGTTGCTTGCAGTTTCAGGGTGAAACAGGGTGAGATTCGAAACATTTCTTGTTTACAGAACTAATTCTGTGAACTTGCTTTATTCGTTGTGGAATGAACACGGAACAATTATTTAGAATCACTCAAAACCTCACTGCTACTCATAAAAGTCTGCTTTGTATTTTGTATCTATAACGGTGCTGTTTGAAATGTGAATTGCCATCCTCGGAGGAACAAGAGTTAATGCATGTTCTTTCCACATTGAGGAAGGGTGGATTGTACAGACATTCCTGGTCAAGCTGCAAGAGCTCTGGGATGTTTGTTTACAGGGCTGATATACTTGGCACTTGCTTGTTGATTCATGAATGTTTGGCAAGGCAGTTCTAAAGCTTGCTCCATGCCAATTTCCTGTCCTGCAATTTACACTCTCTGGGTCTCTGACCTTGTTCCTTTTTCGTTCACTGAGTGAGAATCTTCTTTCATTTGTAAATTTAAAAGGAGTTCCTCCTTCATTTGTTTAAATGTGCACAAACCTCTTTTTATGCAAAATGTCTCCAACTAAAACACATTAAAAAAAGCACACAAGCTATGGCGATTAAAGCCACAAAGAAAAAAAAATTACATGGCCATTTGTTCTAAAATGCTCACAGTGACCAAAGTGTACATATCTATAAATCAAGCCAGAGAGCAGGACTTAAAGAAAACAGGAGGCGTGGCAACCTGTCAAAATATATATGACGAATGGTATGTAGAGTGGTACTACTCTTTTTCCCTGCCTTGAGGTATGATGGACAGTGCAGCGCTCACCTCTCACATAGATGTCCACTGGCTTGCTCCTCTTGGATTGGACATTCCGTCCCAACAGATTTACCCAGTAGCAGCAGCTGAACGACCCAGATACCTCTCGCCCGGTGATGCTCATGATGTAGGTGTGGTTTCTCTGTGATGAAATCATGGTCGAGATAGCAATCCTATCTCCAAAGTACTGGAAGCCTTCAATTTTGTCTGCTAGAGCTGGTGCAGAGCACTCAAGTTCCACGGAGGTACCAGGGCGGTATTCCTTGTGCTGGGGGTGCACGGAGAAGGTCGGAGCCTCGGGTGCACCTGGGAACCATCAATTTCCATTGGCACCTCCCCATATTGGAGAACAGATGAGCAGCATTTTTAATCTCATTGCCCTGCGGCTCACCATGACCTCTCCCGAAGCCCTCGAATCTGACCTCCGAAACATGTTCCTTTCACCCACAGAGGTTGCGCCAAGCAAAGACATGACCCCACCCACTTCCCACAGGTGATACCAAACAGCTCGAGATAGTTAAGACGAAAGCAGACGGCAAAGAGCTTCAGAAAGATCTCCCCAAACTAAGTGACTGGGCAACAAAATGGCAAATGAAAGTGAATGTGGATAAATGTGAAGTAATGCACATTGGAAAAAAATAGTCCGAACGATACATGCAATATGATGGGGACTAATTTAGCTACAACTACTGAAAAGAGAGATCTTGGAGTCATTGTGGATAATTCTCTGAAAACATCCACTCAGTGTGCAGCAGCAGTTAAAAAAAAAACCCCAAAATTCAGCATGTTAGGAATCATTAAAAACGGAAGAGAAAATAAGACAGAGAATATATTATTGCCTCTATATAACACCATGGGAGGCCCACGACTTGAATACTGCGTACAGATGTGGTCACCTCATCACAAAGCAGATCTCTTGGCATTGGAAAACGTTCAAAGAAAGGCAACACAAACGATGCAGGGTTTGGAATGGGTCCCATAGGAAGAGAGATTAAAAAGATTTGGATTTTTCTGCTTCAAAAAGAAGAAACTAAGGAGAGAGAGGATCGAGGTCTATACAATCACATCCAGTGTGGAAAAGGTGAATAAGGAAAAGTTATTAACTTATTCCCACAATATAAGAACTAGGGGTCACCCAATGAAATGAAGAGGCAGCAAGTGTCAAACAAATCAAAGAAAGCTTTTCTTCGTGTTAACCTGTGGAACTCCTCGACAGAGACTATGGTGAAGGCCAGGACTTTAACAGGATTCGGAAAAGAGCTAGATAGTTTCATGGAGGTTAGGTCTGTCCATGGCGATTAACCAGGAGGAACTTAAAAAGCAACAAATGGTCTAGAAGCACTTATATGACCGGGAGGGGTAAGAATGGTGTCCCTGACCTCTGTTTATTTGGCTGATCGTATGTTCTGTCTCTGATAATCTGGGGTCGACACGGCTCGGAGAGGGCAGCAGAGGTAGGAGACTCAAGGGGATGGGGGATGGAGGGAGGAACACAAAATCTGAGGAAGCTGCGACATACCCTTCACTTGAATAGAGATGGGGGAGCTCTTGATAGATGTGACTTCTTTCCCGGATTCCTCCCTCCAGTAGGCGCAGCTGTACGCCCCGATGGTGGAGTTGTTAGCCGTGAGATGGAGCCACGCTTCTGTGTAGGCATTCGGGGGCGTCTCGGAGAGCTGCTTCCCACTTCCGTCAAAGAACTGGTACCTTGTCACCCCCTCGACCCCCTGAGCTGAGCACCGGAGGGTGAGACGGTCGCCCTCGATGAACTCTTGGTGTCGGGGGTGCAGAAAGAGTTTGGGGGCTGATGGAGGGTCTGGAACGGAAACACAGAAATTACGGCAGAGGGGGAGATATCCAGGGGGTAAGAGGGAGAAGACATGGGGGGGACAAGATACAGACACACACCCCACCCATCCTGTCAGCCATGCTTCACGGCAGATACAGCAACTTTGGCTATCCCTCGCTCCCTTTACCTGAAGGAGACACCAGGCTGGGGAACATCTCGAGAGCGGCTGAAAAAGGGAAGAGAGGGAGTGAAAACTCTGGGAAAGCAAGAACAGAGGAACAAAAGAAAAGGAAAACTATTGGAAAGAAAGTCTCTCACCCAGCACCGGTAGAAGGAGACTCAATTCCATGTTGTGCTTGTTTCTCTGCTTTTAGAATCTGGGATCTTTGCCTATCTCCGATGCCTGCATGTGGCTATATTAGGCACTTCCTTTCTGCCGGCCTATCAGCTGCACAGTACCCCTCAGCTGCACAAGACCCTTCAGAGACAGATTGCTGGGGTTCAGCTTGTACAGATATCAAGTTTGTGGTCCAGTCTTGTCCGGACATCTAAGGATATTGCTGTCAGCACTTCTGCTTTTCTTGCTTGCTTGCTTGACAGCTTCTAATAGATTTGAAAATTATTTTCAACAAGGGTGAAACTAGCACCTTCAAGTTGCTTTCCTTTCTGCTGTGGGGGAGGGCTGTAAAGTAGTTAAAATTAAATGTGATGAATCATGCGATTGAAGACAATCGTCTTCACGTGACTGAAGGCAATTCATTAGTGATTAATTGCCCGATTAATCCGTCATCTCATACCAATTATCTGTGTCTTTCTTGCTGTTTTCTACATTTTCAAATATATAGATTTCAATTGCAACACAGACTACAAAGCTAACACGGCTGCATCTCTATCACTATTCTACAAAATATTCAGGGCTCACTCTATACGCGTCTTTGACTAGAAGATTTACCTAGTATCGCTTGGGTCCCTCAGGGCAGTGGGCAAGGGGTTCAGGAGTAAGGGCAGGGTCTTGGGGATGTGGGGAGCTCAGGGAAAAGGGTCATGGGGGTTGCAAGAGGGTGCTGTTGTATGGGTGATCACGCACACTAGGCATTTAATTAGGGTCATAGCACAAAGACCCACAGTATCTCAAATATACCTTTAACAAGTTTTATTTCAAGCAATTCAGGAGCAGTTTTAAAAGAGATAGATAGATAGATAGATAGATAGATAGATAGATAGATAGATAGATAGATAGATAGATAGATAGATAGATAGATAGATAGATAGATAGATAGATAGATAGATAGATAGATAGATAGATAGATAGATAGATAGATAGATAGATAGATAGATAGATAGATAGATAGATAGATAGATAGATAGATAGATAGATAGATAGATAGATAGATAGATAGATAGATAGATAGATAGATAGATAGATAGATAGATAGATAGATAGATAGATAGATAGATAGATAGATAGATAGATAGATAGATAGATAGATAGATAGATAGATAGATAGATAGATAGATAGATAGATAGATAGATAGATAGATAGATAGATAGATAGATAGATAGATAGATAGATAGATAGATAGATAGATAGATAGATAGAGTAATTATCACTTAAAGGGCATTAAACACAATATTTAAATTGACTAATTAACAGTCTAACTCTGATCCTTAACTCAATTTAGCAGCCTAATTCTTAATCCAATTTAACACACACAGCCCCACACACACATTCCAGTCACCATCTGGGGCTGGCCAAACCCCAGGCAATGTTGGTTAACCTGGTCGAGGTGGAAGTCTGACATGCACGTCACCCCAATATGCCAAATTGATGGACGCCGCTCTGTAGGGCAAATTGGTTTGGTATGCAACCCCTCGGGCGCGGGGAAATCAGACCATGTGGAGTGATGTCCATTGGTTACACACAGTCCAGGTCCGGGTGAGGTGAGGTCCGTCGGTTGCACCCCCTCTTCTTCTGCAGGTGTTCTCACGACTGCTCTTGGGGCTTCCTGCTTCCACCACCCAATTCTGCTTGCCTCGGCTCGAGTGATAAACAACAGAACGTCCTAGACGAGGTCTCTCCCTGGTTGCTCCTTCCGATCTGGGAACGTTGCCTCCTTCTGTGCTGTTTTGTCTCAGCACACAGACACAGTTCTCCTATTTCACACGGTCTTTTTCTCAAAGTGGTAAACAAATACAAATTCCTCCGGGCCACTGGCTTGAACCTTAGTACGGCCGCTCTTCAGCTCACTTACTCATGCCAGCTGTTCACACGAGCCATGATGCCTGACATGGATGGGGGAGGGCCAGGAGTCAAGGCAGGGGATGGAATTCAGGGAAGGGGTGGGGGTGCATAAGTCAGGACAAGAGGTTTGGGGCTCAGACAGTCGTCAGCCCCTCCCCCCACCGGCACCTGAGAAACTGTTACCAGATTTGCCCAATACTCTGGGGTGTGCTCATATATTAGGGTTACTCTTACGGGGCCGGAGGGAGGTTCACAATTCTATCCGGGTGCTGCATGTGCTACTTGTGCTCTCCTATGGGGCTGAATTCTCCCTGCCGCCCATTCCCCCTCCCACTGGAGCGCCCCTGCAGGAACTAGGCTCCTCAGGACGGGGTTCTCCCCACCTTAGCACCCCCACTACCAGAGCATGCCTGAGCTCTCACACGCTGACCCCTCCTACATCCCTGGACTCAGCACACTGGTTTAATAGCACTGCCCCACTGCACCCCCATGATGGGGATTCCACAACCTCCCTGGGCAATTTATTCCAGTGTTTCACCACCCTGACAGGCAGGAAGTTTTACCTAATGTCCAACCTCAACCTCCCTTGCTGCAGTTTAAGCCCATTGCTTCTTGTTCTATCCTCAGAGGCTGTAGCCAGACAGGAACGCCCCCTTGTAACATCCATTTTTGCTTGCCTGGAGCATGCAGGGCATACAGAACAGAAGGCCCGGATTGGTACTTTGGACATTACCAATCCTCAGTGGCCTTTGGACTAATTGTGTGAACACTGGATTGTAGCAAACTAATACATTTCTGTTGGAAATAATTTCTCTAATATCTACTGACCTTTTCATAGTCTTCAGGTGTAAATTCTCTGTCCCTCTGGAGTATTTCATGGAGCCTTGCTTTAACACGATGCTGGCAGCTGCTTAAGGAATCACTGTCACTGTCCAATAAGCCATTCATATTAGCACTTTTCACCATTTGAACAAGAATAGGAGTCAGCTCTCCCTCTAAAGCCAGTAACCCCTGAGAAAAAGAATACAGCTATTCAGAAATGAACAAACATAAAGAAGGAGTAATGCAGCTATTTTAAGCTAAGATGTTAATGTAGATGCCACAGTATATTATTCAAGTAACTTGCCATTATCTTAAGTGTTGAGATTACAAAAACTCACTCACTCAATGAAATCATTGTGTAGCTTACTGCATGTGCTCTCTCTCTCTCTCTTTCTCCTCCCTATATTTAGGATACCTAATATATATTACTGTTATTTGCAATAGGAATAAGCACTAAAACTTCTGCTACAAAGAGAATGAGTGGCAAACTTAAGCAGGAACTGAGCTTCTGGGCTGGGAAGTCTTTCTGGTACAAAGATAGGTAAAGAACTGTGAAAGTTTGGTTAAAAAAAGTTTACCTTTTCCTGTAACCATTTTTAAGATTTGTATATTTGCTAGCATTTAAGAAATAGAGCAATAGCCATTGTAACCATCTGATTTATAAGCTTCTTTAATAAACCTGTAACTGTTTAAGCTTTAACCTGACTCCTTCAGTTGCTGTAATAGAACCAAGCACAATTTTAAAAGAACTTCAGCTGGTCATAAAGGGACAGTCATAGGAAGAGCTTGGGCGTTTGGATCTGTGTCACTCCCAGGTGACAGATCCGTTGGGGCACCTTTCAGCCTTTCCCAGGCTGCCCGCTGCAAAGGAGCCCTGTGTTCTAGCAGCTAAAATCTAAGGTGTAATAAGCTCTTCCTATATAACGGGGCGTCTGTTGGCCTGCTGGCCACCCTCTGTGACGGGACCCCGGTCCTAGCAGTAAAGACACGGACGTTAAACCTTTTCTCAGCACACACACACTGCCCTGACCGTCGGCTGACAGAATTGGCGTAGTCGGCAGGATTGTGTTATTGGTTCAAATACAGCAGCATGAAGCCTGTCATGCTGGACATGGATTTTAGCTGTAAGGAGAAAGAGTTGGCCCAAGAGGGATGGGGCAACCCTAAATGGGATAAAGAGATGTTAGGGAAAGGCGCTTGCATCTGGCTGTTAAAGGGTGTGTGGAAAGTAGCCTGCTCTAGCTACTGGAACTTAGAAGCAGAGCTGATAAGAGTGCAGAGAGAGAGAGATACGAACTCTGGGAGCAATGCCAGAACCTACATACCTGGATGTGAACCCTAAATAAGGACATGGAGCACCTACAGGAACGGCTCCTCCTGAGGCTAGAGAGGGGAAGGAGAAAGTAATTAATGGAGAAAAATGAGCTTTTAGAGCTGGCTTTAAGACTTTGCTAGCTCAAGCCCCCGTTCTCCCGCCTTCCACTGTAACCAAGATAAAACAGTACAGCATTCCAGCCGAAGCTATGGCTCCGGTCTGTGAACTAATTAAAGATTTGAAAAAACGGGGAATCTTAATTCGTACCTACTCCCCGTATAATTTGCTCAGGAAGCATGCTCGATAGGAATGAGCTCCCCTCTCACGAGGAAGCTCTGAGACAGCTGATAACGAGATACACACTTATCAGTTTATGGGTCCGATTCACCCGAATGCCCCATTTCATTTGTACCTCACTGTGGGAAACACAGGGATGTCCTATGCCTTATGGCAAGAAGGAGAAGCGGTACCCCGCCGCCCCATACAATTTGGCTCGAAGTTATGGCAGGGGTCACAGTCAAATTACTTGCCTTATGAAAAAGTGCTTTTGACAGCACTAAGAGAAACAGAGGAGCTAACTGAGGCTCAAACCATAACATGTCACACTCCTCTCCCAATCATTAAGCCCATATTGGAAGGAAAGGAGTTGCCACTGGGAATAGCCCAAAAGAAAATGACTGTCCAAAGACGAGCACTCGATTTACTCTATTTACAGACTTTGCTGTAGCATGAATGTCATGAAAATGACAGTGTGATGCTGTTGCAAAAAAAGCAAATATGATTCTATGTTGTATCAACAGGTGTGTTGTAAGCAAAACTCGTGAAGTCATTCTGCTGCTCTACTCTGCACTAGTTAGGCCTCAGCTGGAGTACTGTGTCCAGTTCTGGGCGCCACATTTCAAGAAAGATGTGGAGAAATTGGAAAGGGTACAGAGAAGAGCGACAAGAATGATTAAAGGTTTAGAGAACATGACCTATGAAGCCAGGCTTCATGAACTGGGCTTGTTTAGTTTGGAAAAAAGAAGATTAAGGGGGGACATGAGAGCGGTTTTCAAATATCTAAAAGGGAGTCACAAGGAGGAAGGAGAAAACTTGTTCCTCTTGGTTTCTGAGGACAGGACAAGGAGTAATGGGCTTAAAGTGCAACAGGGGAGGTTTAGATTGGACATTAGGAAAAAATTCCTAACTGTCAGGGTGGTCAAATATTGGAATAAATTGCCAAGGGAGGTGGTGGAATCTCCCTCTCTGGAGATATTTAAGAACAGGTTAGATAGACATCTGTCAGGGATGGTGTAGACGGAGCTTGGTCCTGCCTTGAGGGCGGGGGGCTGGACTCGGTGACCTCTCGAGGTCCCTTCCAGTCCTATGATTCTATGAAAACCCTATACTGTAAAGTTTAAAATTAATAATAGCTGTCTGCAATACCCATTTGGATTTACCTACTGAAAGAAATCAGAAGGTGTGTGGGGCTAATTAAAAAGCCCACCCTCCTTACCAAATTGATACTAGATAAACCTGTGTTATTGGGAAAAGTCATTTAGCAGGCATTAGGACGTATCATAAGAGGAAAAAGCATGTGAAAGGAGAAGGCAAAAAGCTTGGCGCCCTATGGGCATAGTGGAAAGATTTAAGCGATTGTTGTAATGTGAAGGAAAACCTGCTTTAAAAATGACACCTCGTTTCTTTGCAGCCTCTTTCTTAAGCACTGTGCAAACCACTTAGGCAAAGAAACAATCAAATGTAAACATTTGTCTACAGACACTTTTGTTAAATCTGCAAAAAGAAAATTAAGAATTCTACTGAAACTT